ACCGAACAGTTGCTTACATAGTACGAAGCAAGTATGCTATTCGGCTTAACGAATGAGAGATCGTCAACATACGTCCCTCGTAGAAACGGGTAAGAGATCCGAGGTAGCGACAAACGGACCTCTCACTCATTTCTCATACCTCTCACTTTACGGGCGACTTCAAACAAAGAAGAGGGGATAGTGAGTTGCTTATTTCGAAGTAGAGATCAGTTGCTTATTTCGAGGCAATCCTGTAGCGCGCTCGAAAGAGAAAGAGGTCCGAGAATGAAACAATACATATATTAATGTGTGCAACTATGAAACTTTTATATTCATATTTATAATCATGTTTTTTTATCAATGAAATTACAGACAGAATACTTGAAATGGTATGCTAGAAAAATGAGTTATAAAACTTGCACCATATACAGGCTTGCCTCGAAATATGCAACACGCTCGGATCTGGCCAGTTGCTTATTACGGATCAGGTATGCTATTCGGCTCGACTTTGTTCTCGAAACGGAACGATAGAGAACACGAGAAACCAATGAGAGATCCGAAGTAGCGGCAAATCATAAAGTGATCGGCCGAGCAAGGATGTTATTTATTGAAAAAAGATAGAATATAGCATGCCCTCTCATTCTCGCACTACAGTAATGCTCGGTTAAATTTCACTACGTTCTGGAGTCAGCAGTGAAATTATCGCGAGCAGAGTAGCGTTTTTATTCCGAGAATTGACTCGAGCAGAACTTGACAGAGTAAGAGAATAGATACGATAGAAGGAAACGAGATAGATATACTACGTCTAGCAGCGACGGTCGTGGCACTGCACGGCACTTCAAAGAGATGCCGCGAGTGAAAAAAGTGAACATGCAATAACGAGAATTTCACTAGCAGTAATTTTCAACTTATTTTTATGCAAATTTTACCATTGGATCTTTGAGATTCTTCTGATTAAAATGAGTCCAAACACGACGTAAATCGAATCATATTTATGTTATCTAATAAATACATAATAAATCACGTAGAGTAAATCATAATGAATCATATACAGTAAAAGCTGGATATATGCAACAAACATTGGGACTCAGACGTTGCATATATCCAGTCGAGGTGTCGATTCTGCGTCCGTACAAATCGTTTGTACCGCTCCGCGATACCAATTCTACGTTCGTACAAGTCGTTTGTACCGTGCCGCGATACCTATTCTACGTTCGTACACAACATGCAACGTGTTGCGTGTTTGATGTATCTTTGGTGTACGGCCTGCCTTATACATATGTAGCCGAGGTGTCAATTCTATATTGTTTATTTTATTATTATTGTTTATAAATATAATTCAAACTATATCGTGTTTGGTGTCATTTTAATCAGAAAAATCTCACAAATGCGTTAGTAAAAGTTTCATTAAGAAAAAGTTAAAAATAAAAAGGTTTTATCGTTCAATTAGTTTAGTCACACCGATACGTTTCGGTTCTTTACTTTGATCATTGGACCTCTCTCTTTCCTCCACTGTCTGTCCCTTTCTACGTTCACGCTTGGCTGGTCGTCGCGTGTAATCGGAGATTCGACACCTCGACTGGATATATGCAACGTCTGGGTCCCAATGTTTGTTGCATACAGTAATGCTTCGAAATAAGCAAGTCGCTATCCCCTCTTCTTTGTTTGAAGTCGCCCGCAAAGTGAGAGGTACGAGAAACGAGTGAGAGGTCCATGAAAGCGCGAAGCCGATGTTTAGGGTAATAAATTTCACGCTCGACTGAGTAGTGACATCGATTAGTAGAAGAAGGATGGAATATATATAATGCTTTCTCAGTCTGGTATATTTGCTTCGAAATAAAGCATAGTGCGAGAATGAGAGGGCATGTTATATTCTATCCTTGTCCAAAAAATAACATCGCTGCTCGGCCGATCACTTTATGATTTGCCGCTACCTCGGATCTCTCACTCGTTTCTCGCGTTTTCTATCGTCCCGTTTCAAGAACAAAGTCAAGCCGAATAGCTACCTGCTTCGAAATAAGCAACTGTTCGGTCCCGAGCCACTTGCTTATTTCGAAGCATTACTGTATATCCAGCTTTTACTGTACTCAATCAATTTTCCAAGTACTACCAATATATTATTTAATTTCAATTAAAAAAAAAGGCAGTTGAGGCGTGATGTGACTGGGATGGTATGGTCACTGGTTAACCTCAAGAAAAAATAAATAAATAAATAAATAAAATAGGAAAAAGATGCTGTGTCGCTGAAAGGTTCATCTACTACAAAAAATTTATCAAAACCTTTTATTATTATTCATGCCACAAAATTTACTTATTGGATTATTAATGGTAATTATTTAGATTACGGACGGTAACTCCGATTTCGATGATTTTTGAATATGTTGTAGAAATCAACATTTTGAACAACTTTTTCCTATACATATAACCGCCGCTCGGCCTTAGTTTTTGAGATATTTTCGAAAAACTGTCATCCATGTGCGTCCGTGACAACGTACGCATTAGTATGGGATTGCCGCTTTTCTAGTGTTTCTGCAGGCAACAGCACGGCGACCGATGACCAATATATACCTTGTGTACTTCTGCATTCATGATTTCAATGTATCGTAGCTATGATGGCAGCTGGGAATTTAATATAGCCTAACCTAACCCAATCTACTCTACCTAATCAGTGAATTAAGTTAGGTTAGGGTAAAGCGATATTCTGGTCGCCGCAAGGCGACCAGACACACATACTGAGATTCAAAATCATGAAAATTAGTTAAATTTAATTTTTAAGCCCACATGTTATATATGAATATATATATTGGTGGCGGTCACCGTGCTGCCTGCAAAACAATAGAAAAGCGGCGATCGCACACTGACGCGTAATGCCGGGTCTACACTGAATAGAAATGTTCGCAAACAGTTCTCGAGCTGTTTGCGAACTGTTTGCGAACAGTTCGCGAATAGAATTCACACCTAAGCTCAGACATAGTTCGTGAACAGCTCGCAAACGGAACGCAAACGGTTGCACAATTGTTCGCTGGCTGATGACGGAACTGCGAACGGTCGTCAAATTCAACAGAAATATGTTACAATGCGTCCAGACATGTTTCGAATTCGCAAACAGACTCTTTGATGTACCGCCTCCTTAGCGAACAGTGTTCGCTGTTCCCTGACGAGTTCGCTGCTACCTGCTCGCTGTTCGCGAAAGTGTCCACATTGCCGGCGAACATGGCCCGCGAGCTGTTCGCAAACTGTTCGCGAACAGCAGTGTGGACCCGACATAAAAAGTACACGGACGCACACGAACAGGCAGAATTCAATGTATTAGTTTCGACAGTTTTCGAAAATATCTCGAAAACTAGCGGCGGTTATATGTATGGGAAAAAGTTGTTCAAAATGTTGATTTCTACAACATATTCAAAAATCATCGAAATCGGAGTTACCGTCCGTAATCTAAATAATTACCTTATTAATTACTAAACAAAAACTAAATGTTATAATAAAAAACTACTGGGGTCATGTTACCCCGTTTATGGGGCGTAATAGCCAAAAATGGCATTTTCTACATCATCATTAAAACTACAAAATTACTGAGATTGTTTACGAAGAGCAAGCTGAAATGAGATAGAGTAATGTCATTTATTTTTTCATTTTTGATTGTTAGATTAATTAAAAAAATAAATAAGACTGACAATGATCTTCTCTTGCTAGGTCTGTTGTAGATCCCCACATGCGTATAAGTATTTACGGGGAAAAATTTAAATTACATAATATTTATTTACTTTGTTGCTCGCACTTTTCAGTTATATACTAAGTTTTATAATATGTAATGTAATAACTAAAAATTATATTATTTGCTTGACCGTGTTTTACTTATACTGGCGACAAATATTAGTCCTGCCATTCGCCAGGATAAGTCACAAGGAGTAAAAAGTTTCATAGAACATGGGGTCGCAGATGACGGGAAAGTGGTCAAAAGTGTGGTGATCATGATGATAATGACTGAATAAATGAATGGAGGAATGATGATGAAGAGGAGAAGAAAGATGGAGTAGTGTCATGATAGGTGTCTAAATTTTTGTAATGCAAAGAGGAGTGAAGAAGAGAGGAATGGAGATGATTATGATGATGGTGATGCAGGAGATGAAGCTATTTCTGTTCCGGTTCATGCTCTCTCATGATAATCACCAGGATCAGCAACAGATGATGATCATAATGCAGGATTAACGCATCATTTCCTGATAAAGCGAGCGGAGACCACCCCTTCTTTCTTCTGACTGTTGAGTAATCAGTAGGTAGCCCCTTCTGACTTGGAGTCAGGTGCGCACTTACCTTCTTTAGTTTTTATAAAAAAGCCCTAATTCCCATCGTTTTACACCATTAGTCCTTTGGTACATTTTGACCCTCAAGGGGTCCTAAGTCATGTGGCACCCCCTATATTTGTCGTCAGTATAAGTAAAGGCAACCAATTTTTCTTCTAAATTACTTTTAACATTTTAACATTTAACATTTTCACTAGGGAATTCTGATTTGATTGCAAGTATGTGTTCCCTATATCTAACGCAAATGGTTTAAATTGCATGAGGCTGTACAAATGATAGTTATTATGAACTGAAATGTGCAGTTTGCACAAGCACAATCTTAGCACGAATAAAATCTATTTTACCATATCATTTTCATGAATTGAAGCACATAACTAAGTGGGTAAATGAATGTTCAAGACATAACGAATGCTATTTAGTTTAAAATCTTAAAAAATCTTAAAATATGAACTTTGTAGATATAGCGACCAGAACGAAAAATCTAAGGAATATAAAATTCTGACTGTAAAAATACAAGCTCTTACTCTTGATGCAAATAAAGACTCAAAAAGGAATGAATAGAAGGACATACACACAAAGTTAATATAATAAAATTTCTTAAAACAATAGAAACGATCTTGAAATATCTGCAATATGTACAATAATTGCAACATTCTACACAAATGTATTAATTGAAAAATAATAATAAAAAAAACAAACAAACAAATTACTTACCACATATTTCACAACGAAATGGTGTGTCGTTGGTATGTGAGCGCATATGATTTGCAAGATGTTCTTTCCTTGTATATTTTTTACCACAGGCTTGACAATGATGTGGAGTTTCTCCTGTGTGCCACATCACATGGTTCATAAAGTGTTCTTTCCGGGTAAAACTCTTTTTACAAATATCACATCGATGAGGTGTTTCACCCGTATGTTTGCGAACATGGTTAACCATATGTTCTTTTCTAGTAAATGTCTTTGAACAGTACTGACACCTAAAATATAAAATAATAACATTAATCTTATTCAAATTTAAAAAAACGTAATTCCAGATATATATTAAAATAATATCTCGTACGCTAATAACCTAAAAATAGTACATACTTTTATATGTTTTGTTAATTTAACATATCTGCTATCATTCAAAAATCGCGAGAAACGCGCAGTGGAAACTTTGAGATATGGATAGCTACCCCCCTTCCTTCTTAAAGAAAATCATCTACATGGCGTTATAGTATAACAGACTCTTGTTATATTGCCGCGGAGGGGCTCTGTAACGGTGAATAATTTTTTAACTTCCCAAGCGCTCATTTGGAAGGGCGAAACGAAGATAAAAGTGTATTCATCTTTGTAGGCTATGATAGTGCAAGAGCAGCACCAGTATGCTTGAAAATCCGTAAGAAGGTCAAATTAATCAGTTGACAATATAACGAGGGCACACTATACATAAATAAAATACTATATAGTTATGCAATTTGGAATATAGGTACTTTCTGAGATGGCCTTGACGATCCCAATCTTTTTAACACGTTCGTTGCTAATCACACAATACCGCGAGCACTATCACCAATGTTAAATATCCTATCACGCGATATCGCGCATTAAATTAGTTTTAGAGCTACAGATAGATTATTTATCATGATCATTTTTGGATACTCTACTACCCTACAAATTTTATTCAAATTATAGTTAAGTCTTTACGATATCTCTTTGTGAGTTATATTTCAAATGCTAAAAAGTTTTTATTCAAACATGAATAAAAAACAATTTATTTTATGTGCCACGCTTCCCTTCTTAATTAAAATGTCCTATCTTAAGCATATGGTTAATTATAGAAATATAACTTTGAAACCAATGAACCAATTTTAAAGTTCTTTGTTCAAGGTCCAAGTCAAATGTAACAGATTTCATAAAAATTGACCTAACAATTCCAGAGAAATTGACGGACAAACGTATTAGCATACATATTGTACGTATCGAATATACGTATATACATATATTGGTGTCGGTCGCGGTGCTGCTGCTTGCAAAAACAGTAGAAAAGCGATGATCGCACACTAACGCGTAAGATGTAACACGGACACACACAGACAGGCAGAATTCAATGTATTAGTTTCGACAGTTTATCGAAAATATTTCGAAAACTAAGACCGAGCGATTGATTTCTACAACACATTTAATAAAAATCATCGAAATCGGAGTTGCCGTCTGTAATCTAAATAATTACCGGATGATTCACAGCAACTTGCAAGACGGAATAAAAACGACGATGTATGCCCATTTTCCTAGTCAAGGCAGAAAAAAATTAGATCCGCGCGCACAAGCTTACATATTTGTCGGATACTCTAATACAGGCCTGTCCAAGTAGGGGAATTTACTCCTGGAACACATGTTTTGGGTCCCCTTCCAACGCTGCTCCTTCAAGTAAGATGGGACGGTTCCGACTACCATCTCTCCGAGGAGGCAGTACCGCCGCTAGGAAAGACGGAGAGACGGTAGTCGGAACCGTCCCATCTTACTTGAAGGAGCAGCGTTGGAAGGGGACTCAAAACATGTATTCTAGGAGTGGATTCCCCTACTTGGACAGGCCTGCTCTAATAGAACGAGGGGATATCTACTATGGGAGCCGACGTTAAAAGATATAATACATACGAAACATGTAAAGTTCGACGAGGAGTCCTCGAGTGACAGCCGTACTTCAATCGGCGCGTGTTATAAACCCCGTGCGTATCGTGAACACGAGTGCCACCACGAGTCAGTCTAACTATTTCAAGTGAAGTTTCTCATTCGTTTATCAGTGCAATAAGCGCAAAACAGTATCACCCATCCATGGGAGCGGGCAAACTCCTGTGAACACTCTCTCATAAACATCTCGGTGCAATCTATTCACCGAAATGGCCTCTGTTAGAAATACCCTCAATGTAGTTACAGCAACGTCGAAGCTACATCAACGTCCTCCAAAGCGACAGTTTTCCAAAGAAAGAATAAGCAATCGTAATCGAAGTCAAAGAGGGAATACAGATAAAGGATTACGTCCAAGCCTTGGAAACACTAACCAGCCCAAGCAATATTTGATTCATATCGAGAATCTCTAACGGTAGCAAAGAAATCACAGACAACATCACAGGTGATCACAATCACATTAAAATCAACAACACAGACCTCTCTCTTCGAGACCGCTCATCAACAAATGGTGGTACCTCGGTATACGACCTTAATCAGCTCCTGATGTTTGGACTTATACCGAATAGGACGTATACCAAACCAACCTTTCCCATAAGAAGTAATGTAAAAATGATTAATTCGTTCTCATGTAAAAAAAACTCCTATTGATATCATACTTACATTAATGCGGTTGTAATATAATTTAAACACTGTTTATGTCATGAATAGCATTTAAACGATTTCCTAGAAATTTATAAAAAATATTCACTAGTTTATTTAACATAATTAATTTGTAAAATATAAATGTAACCTAATGATAGATTCTAAATTAACAAACCAAATGGAATAAATTTTATTGTCTTCTGTTTTGCGGTTATAGTTTGTTATATGATATCCTTACTTATACGATCAGTCAGTTAATAATACATCAACTCGGAATATAATTGATCATTAATTTAATTTTTCCTCTGAGATAATTATTTAATAAAATAATTTTTAACAAAAAATACAATCTATTTCAAAATGCGCTAAAAAGTATGAAATAATTTCTATTTCATTTGTACCAATATACCACGGCTATTAATAAAATCTGTTTAATCGTTAAATACTATACTAAATACATTTAAAAGTTTTCGGAGGCGGCACAAAATAAAAAACTTTTCTTCTACTCGGAAGATCCTAGCTCAGGGTCCTTGAAATCATCCTATGTTGAGATTAGAAACTTCCTGTTTTCTGCAATAATAATCCTTAGCAATAAAAAAATGCAAAACATTTTTTTTACGGGACTAATGAGGAGTTATACTCTACAAGATGCAAAACGTTTCGTTCTGATTGGTTCATCTGTCTCGGAGTAATTGGTGAACATACGCCGAACGTATTTGAAATAGTACGGTTTTTTGCAATAAAAATCGTTCGGAATGAAAAAATTTTTTTTTAACGGAGCCAATTGGGAGACATGCTCTATAAGATGCAAAAGGTTTCGTTCCGATTGGTTCATCCATCTCAGAGTAATCGGTGAACAAACACAGAAAAAAAAGAACATATATACCATACTGATCGAATTGAGTAACCTCCTCCTTTTTCGAAGTCGGTTAAAAATGACGCAAAATTCACACACAAAATTTATGTTATATACTGAGCAAAATTTGTCACGTCCAAACAGGACGTATTCGAAGGCAGACGTATACCAAGGTACCACTGTATTAACCGTTTGACTGCTATGGGCGCATATACAGGGTGTCCAACGACTACGTCAACAACCGAAGAGGAATGATTGACAAGGTGATTCTAAACAACTTTATCCTTTGCCAAAATGTTGATTAAGGCTTCGTTTTCGAGTTATTAACGAAAATACTGGCCAATCAGCGCGGCCGAACCACGAGAGTGTTGGGTATGATCAAGTGCAGCGGCACTACGTCGGTATAATAGGATTCGTTGGGCAGAAGTTTCATCGAATAATGAATAACAAAAATAAAATAATAATAGTATCGAATTATTGATTGCTCATGAACAACGAATAAAGTAATGAATCGTTCATGTAGAATGAATAAATCGAATTGATCCAACACCTTTCTTAGTTGTACGATAGGAATTAAAAAAAAAAATTTTGTAATCATTTTTGAAACAAATATGAAAAAACGAATATACGATTTGGAAATAAATAAAGTTTCCCCATAATAAAAAAAGGATTGAAATGGAATGTAAATAAAAGTTACCCATTCGTCCGTAAATGACCAAGTTACAATGAAAATGGTTTGATGTCACGAAGAACAGCTGATCCCTAGACGAGATCATTGAACTCACTCAACCGCGCGGTCATTATCATTCTTCATAGAATTTCACTAAAGGCGAAGATAAACGATACGTACGTGTACATATATGTACATGCACATTTATTCTGCTGATCAGCACCAGAAACCTGAATGCATGGAGGCCGCGGGGAACCAATTTATAGATATTATGTCTCATTTTAAATGTAAAATCGAAAATTATTTGTTCTTATATTTATTAAAATCTTGTATTTATTATCTGTTATTCTATGCGCAAATACTCTTCATTGTAATTCTGTGTGTAACTCGTATCTTTTGTGTACAGTCATTCATTTCAGTTAAGATGTATTGTCCAATATATAGTAATAATTATGCAAATAAAATGTATACTATTGTTAAGTAGACCTTATGTACTAATGCTATATGCAATTACACATGTATAGTTTTTGTTAGTAATAAAATGATGATCTGGCAAAGTAAAAACTGCGGTGTCTGAATATTAAACTTACTCACTAAATGTAAAATTTAATTTTTGAACGGAACCAGTTAATAAGTAACTTACACATTGTATTTGTGTATTATTTTATCTACATATACTTTTAGTTGTATTTCTTTGTATGTTTTGTACATATTCTTTAGATACATACAAATTTCTATTTGTAAACTGAACTAATTAATTAATAAAAAATATATATTGTATATAATATAATGCAGTACACACTGTAGTGTATAGAACAGTACAGCTTAGTTTAGTGTCCTTCGCCAGGGGAGAAGTAGTAAATTCTCAAAGATGGTGAATTTGAAGCACTACTGGTTATGACTGTACCCACCCCTGCTAACCTGACGTTCAGTCGGCAGTGCTGGGATGATGCAGGTTTTAGGCGCTTTTTACTCGAATTTTTAAACGTTAATTACTGGAAAACAAAGCCGCAAACGCTATTTCGTCATTCTCAATTTTCGTCTTATTTTGATCTCTAGAATCACCCATTAAAAAATCTCCCACCTGTTGTCGAACACCCAGTATATACTACTCCGAAATAATACTGAAAACCAATTTGGAA